TGAGTATGGCTGAGCTGTTGGCAACTAACTCCAGATCTGGAGTAACCAGCAATGGCTTCCTTATCCTCATCATTTTATTCCCTTACATTCAGTGTGAAACTGGTTGTATATATGACATATTGCTTCATAACTGCAAAAAACTCAATACTTTGTTTAAGAAATGGTATGCAAATTGCTGTACACACTAAATGTTCATTGCTAATGAACATTTTTGGAACATTTTTGGAGTCTTTTAGTAAACAATAACTACTGGTCTTTAAGAAAACTCCACATTACAGCTACTAGAACCATTATGACCAACTGATTTGGACAGTGATCTTCTGATGGCTGGTCATTGTTATAGTCACTTTTAGTATCAGAAGTCTCCTTAGACCCCATTCCCATAGATTTTAGATCGATTTATCCCTGTGGGGAGTCTCACTAGATTACTTTCAGCTTAGCCGGCTCAAGCGTCTGTCCCGCCTACTAAAAGCTGTAAGGGGTAAATAACTATGGTGTGCGCTCGGCTGACTGCAATTTAGCGTGAACCCCCAGGGAGTTAGGTCGATCTAAATCTTAATCTCTGGATCAATCTAAATCTCTGGGAATGCACCCTTAGAAACTCCCTTATGTGGTAGACTAGGCACAAGACACCCAAGAAGGTTCCACTCAACCAGATGTTCTTTTGACTGACAGTTGGGGTTTGACAGTATTGGGTTTATAATGTGGTGGGGTACGGAACCATTCTGGCAGGTGCCATTGGCCCCTCTGTCAACATTATCATAGTGTTTGATACGAAATACTCTTGGTAAGGGGTTGGGTTGTCCTTTTCCTGACTGGCCATGGAAAGGTAGTCCTATATGAATGTGGGAATATCGCCCTTGTATTAATGGCAAAAAACTAGGAGGGGGGATAAAGCCATCCTTGGCATGCAAGTCTGTTTTAACACCAGCCAGAGTGGAACTACACTAGCATATATAGGCCTGCCTGTTGTTGCTTAATCAAATACCCAGCCTTCTAGACCTGTGTATTGGCCACTGGGTGTGGATTTTTTAAATCTTGGACAGTGTTTTACCCCCAACAGCTAAAGCAATAAGCAGTGTTGATTCTGTAAGCAGACATTTCATGGTCAGTTTGATGGAGGTGTGACACTTATCATCAGGTAATTGGATGCTGGATATCTGGACAGTGTACACCCAAGTGGTAGCTGAGAATGTTTGATGTTTTGACAAGGTCATAGGTTTGGACATGTGCCATTTCTCTGCAGTGTGTCTAGACCCTCCCTCCACAAATGAAAATTTTGCTCTCTTAAAATCAAAAAGTAAAACTTTGGCCTTGTTTTTCTGCAGTTTTTACAACTATTTATTCAACTTTTAGTTATACCTTGAGATAATGACAATTCTAAGTATTGGCATAAAGGAGAAACAATCCCTCTGAGTAATGACTGTCTGTTTTTATATATGAGGGCACCAGAGGTGGGGAGGAGGAGGGGGGGAGCTCATTATGGTCATGCAGCAGGCATTGGCTTAGTCATTGACATGTATACACACAATGAATATTTGTTATGTACAGGTAAATTTAGGAATAACTTTCAGGGTACACATCCTTATCACAGTCATTGATAAGATTAGCCAAGTTGCATTGGTGCTATAGTTGTTGCAGTAAGCACTGTATTGGCTTGAAAGTGCTTGCATCCTTTTGGCACTCTTGGACACTCAAACATGTTTGTTGCTGTGCACGTTTCCCTCCCCTTCAAACTTGTTCTAAATGTCAAAACAAACAGCTATCAGACAGCTCTCTGAGTGGAGATACAACAATCACCCACACAACCTTTTGAGAGAGCCGACTACTGATATTGCCCCATAGTATATTGTGCCTTTAGAGCCTGGTTCTGCGAGATTGTTCTCGCTAAGTGGATATGGATTGGCACTACGGTTTAATAGTTTCTCAGACTTAAGGTGCCCAGTAATGTCGTACGATAAGAAATGAGCAGATAAATGGCTTTTGGCATTCAGTAGTCTTGTTTGATATAGTTTTGATATAGATTTCTAGTCCGATTTGCCTACTACATATAACTAATACAAAATAGTACATTCATGATTTAGTGTTCTCATAAGTTGGTGTAGTAAAATGTTGTCTCAGTAATTTCACTATTGTCTAAGATATGTACACATGGTCTATGTATGGAAGAGAATTGGTTTCAATTACTTGCAATAGAGTGTTTAAATGTTAAGAATAGTTTGTAGCCTGATATTAGTAGAAATGTGTGTGCATGCATCTGTGTTACTTGAATGTGTGAGGGGGTCATATAAATATGCATGCACGCATGCCTATGCACATGTACATTTGACCCACCCTTTTACAATGGCAAAATGAGTCCCAATTTGAACATTGGTCTAAGAAGCTCTTAATAGGGATGTGTATACAAAGCAACCCACCCAAGTGGAATGTACCTTTAAAAAAAAAACAACAGTATTAGTATTATTGTAGTTCAAGCATTGTGATTCCAAACACCTCAGAAAATCCTCCATTTTGTTTTGACTCTGAGATCGGGAAGGATTAATGAGTTGTAAAATATCAGGACGAGAACATTATACAAACATTCAGAAACAATACCAACACAGCAGACAAAAGATAAATATTTTTCCTCCTGAAGACCACACTTGGAGTAGAAGAACAGGTTGCTGCTGTCTTTCTTTTCCCAGAGATTCTGATTTGTGAATGAAAACACTTCAGATTTTGTCAAACAGTGATGCTTATTTGAAGATGTCGGTTGTTAAAATAAAAAATGAAAATACAGTGAGTTATATGCCATTAAAATGGGTGATTGAAGGATTCTGGAGTATGGAAATTTTATGTGTAGACTTTGGCAGTGTTGGATGGTTTTCTATTTTCATGATCATTTTGAATAAAGGCAAGGATGCATATTGTTGTCACACAAATGTCATGGCCTGCATGTGTGTTTGTGCATGCGTGCATGCCTGTGCGCATTTGTTTGTGTATGTATTTCCTCATTCTTCAAAACTACTGTTTACATTGCTTGTCAAAGAAATAAGTGCCATAATTATAAAAATATATTTCAATTGTCCTCATAATGAAAAGCACTTGAAGCTGTGTCTGAAAAAAATGTGATTGCTACAGGTGTTTATTCGTAAGTTGAAAACTATTGTGTCAGATTTAATTGAATAGTTTTAAAGTCCATGTTCTTATCTTGGAGATATTTTCCATTTGTAAGTTTTTAAGATGATTGTGACCCTAAAAGCTTTTAACTTAAAATTCTTTGCATGAAAAAAGTGGAACTAAAAAAGACATTCAGAGAAAGAAAAAAAAATTGGCTGAGAAGTCCAAGGACCATGAAGGCGTTGTGAAGTTATGTTGGACAGGGAAAAGTTTTTCAGGGTGAAATGTTTGTTCTGCCTTTCTTCTTCTGCTCCTTTGATGTTTTGTCAGATATACTTTCATTCACCCCTGTCAAGGAAGGTGAAGTTGGACCCCTACACTCGAGGTCATTCCCTTTGGCATTTGATCACAAAAAAGACCATTTCTTTGAGCTTGCAGTACAAGCCATTTCAGATGGCCAGGTTAGTTTTTAGGAGGCAATGTCATGGGGTTATCTAGATGGGGACAATGCAGAAAAAATGCAATGTGTTTATAATGTTGGTTCATTCAAGTAAGATTTTACAGGTCACCATGAAATCCAGTTCATTATTTTGATTGTGTTTCAACCATTTGATTCAACATCCTGAAAAACTGCCTTTTCTTTTGTCCTTTTTCATTGTAATTCTGGTTTATAGCAGTACATTCCAATTCAGCTGAATTACAAGAATAATATATTATAACTTGTGGGAACTTATTTTTAAGCAACTGCGTTCAAATGAAATGAAAGTGAATGAATGTCATTTACTTTTAACAAATGTTCCTGGGCCATGCACTTGCCCTTTATGACCTCAACTAATCATTTAATCTCCATGGGTGGCAAGAGAAGATATTTTTTATGACTGTTGAGATTGCCTGTTTATTAAACACTTGTAGGAAACCCTACTGTATTTCTGAATGTAATATATCATGCATGCTAAGAGTTAAATGGATGGTTGCCTTTGTTAAGAAAAAGAGAAGAGGTTTAGAAATTGAGTTGCATATAAAGCACAGCTGCATTTATTTTGACAACGTCAAAGTTTGTGAGACCAAAGTGATTCGTTTGTCAGTAAGTCAATTGTTTCTGAAAATGTTTTTGTCCAAAATAAAAAGAGAAATCACCACTTTTTGTGAGTTTTGCTTGTGCTTTTAAACTAAAACTTGAGCCTTTTTTGATATTTAAAGCACAATACAAAAATGAATGTTTTATCTTACAACACAACCGACCAGAGTGATAACCTCAATGGAATTCTAGTGGATGATCTTCTACACACAGGCAATTGGAATGCTTGCATTTCCGCCACCTGTTATATCTCTCAGTGCTATTTTCTTTCTGTTAAAAAAAAAAACGCCTTAAAATAACCAAAGGAAAAGGGTTAGGAAAAAGCACAGCCATTAGTCTAGGAGAAAAGTGGTAAAGAAATAAACATTAGGGTTGCCACACGGATGTAGACTGTTATTCAAGATGCCCATTGACCAAATGTCTTGCTGAAACCACAGGCATAGATTACTGAAACAATAAATACATCTTTTACTTAAATTTTCTCTTCAAATCTAATTAAAGACAGGGTGCACAAATCTGGTGTCACTTTTCATTTAGTGAAAGAAACTTATGATTGATAAAAATTAATAGACCTAGAGATAAATTATTTAGAAAACTCATTTTGTATAGGCACCATAGAGTGGAATACAATGAATTCAGTCTTATGATTGCAACATAATGCCTTTGGTTCATTCTTCTTTATCTTCTTCAGTTATATAATTATAACCTGCATTTATCCCCCCCCCCCCATTTTACATTTCACAAAATGTAGTATCAAGTACAATATTTTTAATTAAAAAAATCATCTTCAAGTGTTCACATTTGCTTGTTTTTATCATTTCAGACATAGTGGCTGAAACCATCCACCCCAACCCCCGTATAGTTGAAAACCCCACTGATGCCTACGTGGCAAGGAATGAACCCGCAACCTTGAACTGTGGGGCCGAGGGCATGCCTAAGCCCACCATCACGTGGTACAAAGACGGCGTGCCAGTGATAACATCCAACGAGGATACAGCATCGCACAGGATGTTACTGCCCAATGGTCAATTGTTCTTTTTAAGGATTATACACAACAAGAACAACAAGCCAGATGTAGGGACATATTACTGCAATGCTACTAATATCCATGGAAGTGCAATAAGTAGGAACGCAACCTTGGAAATAGCAGGTAAGGAAGGCCCTTTTGATATCAAGCGGTATAGTTTTTTCGATCCAGTTTGAGCGATTAGTGACTTTGTAGCCTGGCTTTTACATAAGAATGTATATTCGCGCTCAACACAGCCACATAATTTGATTATTTGTTAATAGTACATTGGAGCTTGTGAAATGGTTTAAAATCCACAAAGCATAGTTACTTGCTAGACAAACTGGTGGGTTACGAAAAACTGCCTTGCTCAATGTGAGAAGGACTAACACATGATTTAATCTTAGCAATACAGCAGTACCAGAATGTTTCGCAAGATAGACGACTTTTACTTGACTTTATCATAAGATTTCACCTAGACAAAGATGAAATTGTAGAATTATGTGTTATTGTTTTCACCAGGCAATTAATAGACAAGCCATTCCATAATAAATACATGAACTAAAGCTTTAAGCTACTTATCACCATTTATGCTTGGAAAGCTAGTAAAATTATGACAAATCTGACAGTAATCCGTTATCAGTTATGCCATTAAGTAGATTCATATAGGATTTGTCTGAGCACAGGTCCTGCCTGCTTCATTAAATACAACTGTATAATATTAGAAAAGATAAGGCTGGTCGGTAATCACTGTACAGCATATGTAGGTCTCTGGGTAATTCCTCACTCGAGATTACTATATAGAAGAAATGGCTACCTCCAGTTTTCAGAGGTTTGCCACCTCCTTGATATCCTAACATGCCATAAGTACAAAGACATGTAACCTTAGGATAAGCAGCCTCCCCCCCCCCCCCCCCCAACCTTTACATTAGGCAGGTAAGAAGATAATAGTATTCTTTGTGGCACACAAATAAACATAAATTTGGGCGTCATCCGAAAATATGTTATTAAATGTAGTTTAATATCTTGTAAAAAGTATTCACGGAATTATTTTTGCCTATTTGTGACACACCACATGGAGCAAAGTTGGTATTTTTTCCTGCATGAAGAATAGATATTATTATAAAGAAGTTTAACATGGAGGACTCCCTTGGCCCATAGGTCATATTGAAGCAAATTCCCCATCACTGAAGTTGATGGAATATGGTTTCAAACTGGGATGCAGGTTGCTTTTCTTTTGTAATTTTGATCAAAGGATGTGTCATCAGAAAAAATGAGAAAGGTTGTAACAATTTGAAATGAAATATTATTTGTAGGCCAATCAGGAAAGCAGGTCATTAAAAAAATTATCTTGTCCAATTTGATATTTATCCAGCTGGCAGCTTACATTACCCTGCCTAATGTATAGGCTTTTTTAGTTTATAAGGAGAAGCATGCCAGTTTGTTCTTGAAATCCCATTAACTTATCATATGGGAAGCTATGATAAGAAAGAAAAAAAAAACATTTTTCCAGTGTCTTAAAGCCTCATGGAGGACTTAGCCATTTAGAGGACAATTAAGAATAATATCTGTTAGTGTAAGGCCATTTTCATGTCTAGTTTCATAGTTTTCTTTGTCACTATATGTAGGTACCACATAAGAACAATGTGCAGCCTCTCAAATCTACTCATCGTATAATGAAAGTATTTTGAGAGAATATGCCAAGGAATAAGTAGTGATGGATAATGTGGGAGGTATATCTCAAATTTGCCAATCATGTCTAACAGGTTTTCTGTGTAAACCTCTTCAAGTGCATATAACTATATATTTGAAGTGGGTCTAGAAGCAGTCAGTGTACTTTACTGTATAGCCTGCTGTTTTACGTAGTTTTGATGATATCACTGTTAAGTGTTTTTATGGTACTTGCTGGTGTGGATTTATTGCAGTATTGCTGACTTTAACTTCCATTTAATCTCAAATAACTAGCAGTAAAACTTAGTAACAGAAACAGATTAAGGTGAGAGTATATGTGTAACCTTATAAATTTACCATACATCTCAGATATCTTGATTTTAATTTCCAAATCTGCAAATAAAACTACCACTCTATGCAACGGAATATGTGAATCGGCTTGTTCCCCTCCCATCTCTCCCCCCCCCCTCCGCCCCCACCACCAGGAAAGAAACCAACATGTGCAAACTCAACAGAAAATATTTCCATCCTTGGTTCTAGAGCCCTCCCTCTGCGCATAGGCAGCCAGTATAAACATTTGGGATATTTAGGCTTTCCCTGAAGTCTATTCCTAGAATCTTGGTACTTGACTCTGAGGAATGCCTGGTTTACCTTGCCTAGGAGCCTGCCCATCTCTTGGTCCTTTGATCTTTAATTATGTTTTATCTTGGGAAATATTTGTTAGACCTGATCCTACAGCTTCTAGGTACACACAGACTGGGGCTGCATGGTGAAATTATGCAGAAACCATATTATGGGATGGATAAAGATTGAAGGGAAACTCTAGGATTGTGGTGCATATAGTATTGAGAATCTTAGATTGTTCCCCCTCCCCCTTCATTTTCAGCTCGAGAAACTGTGCTGAAGTTGATAGTTTTTGGAGTAAATTAAGATCTCTGATGAGTCTAGCACACAAAAATCTATAGAATTTAGATATTTTTGGATGGTCTGTCCAGGTTTTTCTTTTAGGTTACTAGTGGAAAGAGGGCAACTGATTTCTCTTTGTGTAAATTTTGCTTTTGAGCTATTTTCAATTATTTGCATCTGTTGATCAGCTCATGGATGATACCTCCATATAAATGAACAAAACTTGGTTGATTTCTTTATTTTTACTTTTTTGTTTCCAACTAAGAAAAAAAAACATTCAAATCTCATGACTTTCAAGCTAGTATATGAATTTGCATCTTTAATATCATCATTTTGATTTTCAGTTCTGCGTGATGAGTTTGAGACCAATCCGCACTCGACCAAGGCAGCCATTAACGATGACATTGTTCTCGAGTGCGACCCTCCGCGTGGAAAGCCCAAGCCGACCATACTTTGGAAAAAGGACGGGATTGTCATTGAGAGGGACAGGAGGGTTGCCATTGACGACAGCGGCAAGCTGACAATATCGCAGGCACAGAAGACAGACACTGGCACCTATGTATGTGTGGCGAGGAACAGAGCAGGAGAAAGGGAGAGCGTCAGCGCTTATGTTGCTGTACAAGGTACCATGTTAAAAAGATATAGCTTAACATTCGTAGGTACCATGTTAAATATAGATATAGTACATTGTTTGAAGATATGCAAGGAATTACATTGAATAGACGTAACAGACAGGATCAATTTAACTGATGTTGCCTTTCCACTTTTCCACTCAATGTATTAATAAGAGTGAACTTTTAAAAAGTCAGTTTTGGAGGTATTGGGACAGAAATGTGGTAGAGGTCCAACACAACCGGTTCAGGCAGTCTCCACACACCAGTGCGGTTTGCTGAATTTTTTCTTCATGTTGCAGAGAAACCAGAGTTCACAGAACCACCCCAGGACAAAGAAATTCAAAAGGGTCAGGGAGTGGAGTTCAAGTGTGCTGCCTCTGGGGACCCCGCCCCCACCATTGCCTGGAGAAGAGAGGAGGGGGAGATGCCCCTGGGGAGGTACAATGTCCGAGAGGATGGGACCCTGGAGCTGAAGCTGGCTGAGATTAGTGATGAAGGGGTGTATATATGTCGAGCTTCTAATCCAGTGGGTTATAAGGATGCCCAAGCCAGGCTGACTGTACAGTGTATGTATATTGCTGATTTATAGTTTTATGGTCATGTTCACATCAAAACTAAGTTAAAGCAGAATTATAAATGAAAAAGGAAATAAATTGATAAATGAAGCTTCAGCTGTGTCATTGTTATATTTGGCAAGAAATCAAAGAATACTTTACAAATTAAATTTACCAAATAATATTATTTTTGAGCATGGAGATACTATATGTCATGTTCAAAGCATATATATTTTTGGGCTGTGGAAACATAAAATATGGGTTTATGTCCCATTTTAAACAAAATTGTGTGTGAATACTTGTTACATTGTTCTTTTTTACATAACACATTTTTGACATGTCTGTGATAAATAATTGTTATTTGATTTGATTTCTATTTAATGATGCGTACTCTGATGTGTCTGTGAAATGCAATTAATATTTGACTCGATTTCATTCCCAATTCTAGCTCTGCCAGAGTTCACCATTACGCCTAGGGACAAGACAGTGGGTGTTGGGAGGACGGTGTCTCTTCGCTGTGCTGTGACTGGTAATCCCCCGCCAGCCTTGTACTGGAATAAAGAGCAGAGTAAGGTAAAGTATGGCCTGTAGTCATGGAGATTTTGTCCTCTGGAGTTTAAGAAACTTATGTGTCACTACTCCTCTCGGTATCAATGACAAGAATCTTTGAAGCAGTAAATCTGTATAGTGATTACAGATTGAGTTACTGAACAGAAAGTTGCTTTGTCAATGAATGCACTAGTTGTGCCAAGCAATAAAAGGAGGTGGTGTGACTCTTTGAGCTTCTTTTTCTGTATCTTGGATTTCTCACCGAAAACTTGCTTGCTTTGTTTGCAGGTTTTGTTTTTTCCGAGACAAGGGTACGGCAGGTTTACAGTTTCAGATGGTGGAACATTAAAGATAGAGGACATTAGAAGGAGTGATGATGGTATATACCTGTGCCAGGCAGTGAGTGTGGCAGGGACTGCTTTTGCAAGGGCAAGGATCACAGTGCAAGGTGAAGGTCATCATGATGAAAACTAAATGATAATAATACTGAAAATTGTAGAAATTTTTTATTTTTGATTATATATAATGTTTTAGGTTAACATTCAGAACTCCTGGTTTTTTCATAATTCCAGATGTGGACCCACGACCACCTCCCATCATCCATCAGGGTCCATCGAACCAGACCCTCCATGTCAGCACCCACGCCATGCTGCAGTGCCAAGCCTCAGGGGACCCCTCCCCTACCATACAGTGGTACAAGGCCAACCAGCCCCTGCTGGCAAACAACCCAAGGTTCACCCTGCTGGCGTCAGGGACCATGCAGATATCAGGTGAGAGTCCTAGTTTATTAATATGTATACCCTTACATTAAGGGCTGTTCAGTAGGAGAGATAAACCTGAACTGGTTCTGGTCTGAGTTAACTTCACTGGATAATTGTACTAGTAATGGGGGTTCATTTTTTAGGAGAGATTTATGAATGAAAAAGCAAAATCTAGCAAACTTCTGATAAAAGTTATGAAAGTTCTTCTTTCCTGTTCCACCAGGATAAAAGATTTATCCAGAATTAACCAAGTTTTAACTTTTTGCTCACATTGAATCAGATATATTGCCTCAGGATACCTAAGCCTGGGATAAGAATGAATTAGGATAATAGTTAGGAGAGATGTACATATGTCTTATCCACTGATGAAATAATTTAGCTGCTTGTAGCTTTATGGTCTCTGATGTTTGATATACTTTGCAGACCTGAGGCTTGAGGATACAGGCTACTATCAGTGTAAAGCAGTCAGTGAGACAGGGGAGACAACAAGAGGAGCTTATCTCACAGTAGAGGGTAAGAAGTGCATGTAAACTGTATACAATGATAGCCACTCAAACAAATAAAAATTTTGTTGTTTTAGAATATTTTTCTGTTATGTAATGTGCTACATATTTCATTGTTTACACCAAAGTTTTATCATTGATATATTAGTTGTAATTTTTAAGTTGGCTGATATATATTTGTCCAATTGCTACAGAATTTAGGACTATCTTTTGTATTGTACTGCATCTCATTTTGTGAACTTACATTTTCGTAATATGAAATTTCGTCTCAGTAGCCAGCCATACGACGGTCATTCACCGCACTCCAGAGGCGTCAACATTTCCTGGACCGCCCTCAAAACCATCCATCCTGGAAATAAATGAGCATTATGTCAGGTTGTCGTGGCAACCAAGTGAAAATACTGGAGCTTCCCCAGTGACAAGTTACACTATGGAGTACTTCAGCCATGAAACGGGAGAGGTAAGTAGATGGATGTCAGGTACAAGTGACTTCTGTTTATAAACAGTAGATGTAAAACAGGTCCTACAATTATTATTATTATTATTATAAGTATTGTGTTGTCTCAATTTAATGAATTTAAACTACTAGTATTTTCATTTTTGTAATTGAAAACTACATACATCAATTCAAAAAACAAATATTGAAAGTATAACATATTCAATAATCCAAAATGAAAATTTTGTGTTTTTTTCATTACATGGAAAGTCAAAATTTGCTGAATTTCTCACCTTCCCCCTCTTCTAGGGATGGATTGTGGCCTCCAACAATATCCGTGGCACCTCATTCACTGTGAATGGACTTCAGAGTGACACCAAGTATATTTTCTTAGTACGGGCTAGGAATAGCCATGGTCTGAGCCTACCTTCACCTACCACAGAGGTGATAAGGACCAAAGGTAGTTACCACTAGTATCTGTAAATTATGTCGGTAACTTGAAATGGTTTCTCAAAAGTCAGACAGAGATGGTGGCAGAGGGCTTATTAGGTGTAAAATTGCTTTTAGTAGACATGAAATTTTCTACAAAATTAGAATTTATTCAGCATTTGACAAAGATTTACAGTGCTTATTGAGGCAAGCTACATTTCACGAACTTCAGTGATGTCATACTACTTTACTGATATACACACGCTTCAACCAAGTAAAAGCAATTTTAGATTTAAAGTAAATATGATTGTAATAGATAAGTATAATGAAGCAGTGAAACACTGAAGGCAATCAATTTGAGACTCAAACCAACCACCTGTGATAAAAAATATTGTGGATTGTAATAAAAAAGATTGATAAATCATTGTACGCATTGGTCTGATGGTACATGTTTTTGTCACCAGGGGGCAATGGCAGCAGACGGACGGAGACGCAGATAGATATTCCACTGATAGAGAACATGTTATCTGGAGATGTAGTCAGAATGTCAGAGCCTGAAGTTGTGGGGTCAACCATGGTCAAGTTGACCTGGACGGTGAGTTGAGCAACCTGACCATTGACTAATGATTTATATTGTGTGATTCTCTACACCACCCTTGCATTGCTTTTAGACCATAATTTCAATGTGAAATGACATCTTGTTATTGTCTGGAAGCAAATAAGGTTAATTGCTTTAAGATATATGTCATTTGCCACAGGATTAATCATAAAGTCAGTATTTACAGCATAGCAAAAAAATTTAATATGAATTTTTCATATTACACTGGAAAAACTGATATACACTAATTAATATAGAATTAAATTCCCATCCCCATTAATCTAGGTGCTGAAATCCCAGCAATATATAGAAGGCTTTCGTGTGATATACCGAGAAGTTGATCCCTCTCAGAGAACAGTATCCAGCTCGGGCAGTAACTCCTTCTATAAGAACTGGTACCAAGAGACCGTGTCCAGCAGCAGGTCCACTATGTATTTCTTACGACACCTTAGAAAGTGGACGTGGTACGAGATCCGAGTACAGCCGTTCTTCTTGTCGGTGAATGGCCAGGCTAGTAACATTGTACGGATCAAGACCCAACAAGATGGTGAGTTTGAATATTATGTTTGTGTACTTTCTTTTCTTCATCTCATTTACAGTTTGTCTTCAATAAATATTAATAAAAAGAATTGTTGGTTAGATTTTCTGGGAGCTTTTTAAGTTGAAAATTTTGATAATCTGCTGTCTGAAGTGAAAACTCTAGAAGGGTTTTGTTCTTTTAAATGATCAAATAATTTATAATTGTACATATACACATTACAGTGTTAGAACTGGAGTACATTTGTCACATCCAAGGTATCTCATCCTTTTCATTTCAGTGCCATCTGCTGCTCCCCAGAAAGTGATGTCAAGGAAATTTGACAATAATTCAGTCTATGTTGAATGGAAGCCACCTGCCACAGAGAACATACATGGGGTCATGAGGGGATATGTGGTAAGTTAAGACAAAAATGGTGGAGACTTTTACTTGAAAGGTTATTTAGTTTATATTTTGTGTAAGAACCTAAAAGTAGCTGCCACAATATTCAAAGGTACATTCTAAGTGACACAGATCAAATTTTTGTGAAATTTTTTCAGATTTTTCTGATTGCTGATGATCCTCAGTACAGTCGTAACATCACCCTAAATGCTAGTACCACGTCATACATGATAGGCAACCTGATCAGCGGGGTGGAGTATAAACTACAGATTGGAGCCAGGACAGATGTGGGGGTGGGGCGAGTCAGTGAGGCCACAACAATTGGTATGCTTTTTTTTTTCAAATCATTTCCCTGATAATTTTACAACTGACATAGTAATTTTAACCTTGATTTTGCACAGTGTCTGATGCCATTATTAAATTAACACCCTTACATACTGTAGTTGCGTGAAGGAAGTAGAAATTGGTATAACCAGGAGTTGTATGTATGTTAAATCTAGTAGAGTAAATCTATCACATGTTCAGTAAATTGCATTGATTTTGATCACCTAGCAAGAATACCATAAATGATATGCCATCTGTTATAATTATGATTATTATTCATTTCACTTAATATATATTCATTTATTAAACTTATAGGAATATTATAAATAAGATATATCTTGTCTTTTCCACTAGTAATCGGCCAGCCTCCCTGGTTTCTTCCGACCATTATTGGGACTGTGGGTGGAGTCCTGTGGATTGTGCTGTGTGTCTTTGTTGTGTGGCTATACAGAAGAAAAAGGAACAAGAAAGCACAAAAGAACAGTGTTGTCATGGGTATGTGCAACAGCATTTTAGATTTTTAAAAAGTGAGCTCCGGTTATACTTTCAGTGAATGTTAAAATATGGAGAGCTCACACTGGATGCTGCTTTTGCTTATGATTAAAATAAAGCTGTGAAATGTTGTACAGGAAGATTAGCAAATACAGTAGTTGAAATATGAAGATTTCTTTGGCACATAAGCATTGGAAGACTTTGTTACTGATTATATTTGAATATGTTCCATTTCTTTACAGTACCAGTGCACAAGGCCAATGACCCAAATAGGTGCGTATGTGAACATGTTTTGTGCAGATTGTAACATAATAGATAAGTGAAGGATTTCTAATGTTTAAAAGTATTATTAAATTTCCTCTTCTTGTTTCTCAATTCCATGAAGTAAAAATGAAATAAAATCAACTATTGCTCTCCCCTCAGAATGCCCAATATTGTTCATGGTGATGTACTCAGGAAGGAGTTAATTATGCTAAATGGTGGTAAGTTTGGTCAAAGGATCGGTCCTGACCTTCAGGTTAAGGAAGTTACCTTTGCCTCAAGGTTACAGGAGTGACCTTTGCCTTGGGATAGGTGTAGGATAATGTCTGTAGAATTGGCACAACTATGAATGCTGAAGTTTGAGGGAAAAGCCAAATATCTGGACAGAAAGAAAGAGCAGGGCATTTTTTCATGCACAAAGTATTTAGATCATTTTTCTCTAAAAAAGGATGGTAAAAAGGTGATTCTTACCACTGGCTTCTATATTTCAAACTTCAGCAAGATTTGTCAGGTGATCTTCTTGCAAATGACCTTGGTTGACCATTCAATCAAACTGAATTGACCTAATTAAAAACGAAAAAATAATGTTTTGGTTCAAGTGCATAAAGGCATATATGCAATGACATGTATTTTTGCAATAACACAGACCAAGGTTGTTTTGCAAGAGGACTGTCTGATTCTGTGACTAGAGGTTTAGGCTCTGCTTTTATTTTATCTTTAATTTCACTCTTTCTGTCATTAATTCCACTTGTTTCACTCTCAGCAGAAACAGCTTGGCACAGGCTCCTCCTCCTGGGATAATTCTAGCCAATCGGGACACTTCTGCTGGTCACCATGACAATCAGAATTGTGTCAACTCTTGTTGCCATGGCAATCCATCAACAAGCAATCACCAGTGCACTCCTTCATATAACAATTTCAGTAGTAAGACATGTACTTGATTTTCTACTTTAAATTTTCCAGAAAAAGCATGCTGCTATAAAAGATGAATTTGTGATTCCATTTCTTTTTGAAACACATTAAAAATGAAAGAGAACTGAAATAGACTTTTAATTGGAAGGGGCTTTGCTATATAACCAGGGGAAATAATCTTTATAGATAAATTGGTCTCCTTTTAATATAAAGCAGCATTTTCAGTCAATGTGGGTAGTCCTAACCATTCAAGCAGGTTGTCCGAGAAGTTAACTTGCCATATAAAACCCAGCTGAAGGCATTATACCAATAACCTTCTCATGTTGGTGTTTAGGAAAATGAGGGGTTAGATTCACTGCCTTTAGTAAATCAATTTTAATCAGATAGAGACCAAAGATGTTGGAACAGAGATATGTGTACCTAACATGACTGGAAATGCATCTTTAATGTAGACTTAGTCAGGGATGGTACATTTGTATAGTTTTAGTTTAGTGAAATGCTACTTCAGGTGGTTTCTGTCCATGACACGTATTTATTATTGACCGATTTTAATTTTTGCTGTGAATTGAGTTGTCATTATTGTAGTCATTGGTGAAATTCAATGTTTTTTCTTTGGACGCAAAAAGTGTTCAGTTAAGATTTAAATGTATTTTGCGTCTGATATCAAAGAACAAGTTTTTAAAGCAGGATAAAATTAAATACTATCTATCTGAATTTTATAATGTGTTTTTAACATTGTCAAATCATGAATGTGTGGTATTTCTGGCGTTGAACTTGATCATTCTTTGTCCCATATGACATTCTTCTGACAGTTACATGAAAAAAGAATTTACTAATATGTATGAAAATTATTAGAATTCATATCTTTTGAAACAAATTACTTTCTTTCTTAAAGCAGCTGTTTCTGATTATTTTAGGGAATTCTGGGAATGACCAAGATTATCATACAAACTCCTCAGATCAGAGTAAAGTCATCAATGTAGGCGATGAAAATGTCTACAACTGTATAGATGGCGCCAGTCCACAAATCAAAACTTTCTACGACAAAGGTCACCCTCTCAATGTGACACCATATGCAACAGCAAACTTAGTTAATGCAAATAATATATTAAATAAACAGGTAGGTATCATTTGATATTCCCTTTTTTATTGAAGGTGAAAGTGTACAATGTGGGTGTGTACTAAAAGTCTTAATCAAAAACAAAGGATAAATGGTGAAAAGTAATAACCCTTTTGTTCTGAAAAAGCAGGAAAAAATATTTGACAGAATTGCATTCAATGAATTGTTCTTTGAAGAGGATGAAAGTATTAATTCCATATCCCCCTCTTTCTGCAGCATTCAGAAAGTGCATTCCGGCCCATTCGACAGGGCATCATTGATCCTCAGATGCACAGTGGCTCCAGTGACAGCTGCTTAAAGCCAGGTATCAGCAGTGAGTCTAACACGGACAACAGTAGGCCCAACACAGGTGAACATTTCCCAGTGAATGCAGAGGGGGGCGGGGGATAGTGGGGAGGAGATGGGGGCACAGTGGCTCTTTGTATTGAGATTATATCACCTATATTGCAAACTCAGTTAAACACATATGGGAGACCTACTTTGCAAAAACCAACCACTTAGCACAGAATTATAGATTTTTATATTCTGATATTGAGATCTGGGATAGAGATTGTGATTTAATAAATGGGGACTTTACAACATGATATAAATTATACCATCAGAATGAAAACCAGCTGTGTTCTAATGAGTTTGCAGTGGGCTTAGATAGACCGGGAAATATTCACTGATAATCTGCTTGTTACACGTGTATTTCCTTGAAACAATATTTGTTTGTTATGTTAATGCTTATGAGTTAGACCAGCATTCATTGTGAAGTTTGTTCTAAATATGTCAGTTTTGTATTAGCATCCTGCTCCTGTACATTAAAAACCCTTAAATTTGTTAAGAATAAATTGTCTATGTCTTATTTTCTGTTTATTTGAAAGATTTGGCAACTTCTGTTCATTTCCCTGAAATGCCATGTCTGGACAGACAAATTGCTTATGTAAATTCATTTCAATTGTGTATTTATGAATTCAGATATACCTCATGACCACTACCACTACAGTGATCAAGTGGGCAGTCCACACAGCGAGTCAAGTGAATTCACCATGGATGAAAATGGAATTCCATATCGAAAAAATAGAGGGCAGCAGTGTAAACAGCCCGTTTTAAACTTCGCAGACTTATTACCCCCTCCCCCAGAGCACCCACCACCCACAGATATAGATTCCCCTCCAGATTCACCACGTAGGGGGAACTCTCCTGTGAGAGGAGGTCAGAATGAGAGGTATTATGATAGAGGGCAGCATTATGGACAGTTACGCAGCCCTTTGTCCCCCGCCTCATCGGGGTCTATTAGAAATTATCCCCAGAGAGGGAACGGACAGTACAGCGACTCAGACTACAGGTCTCAGTCTCCCAAGAGTAAACAAGCTCAGCAGTTAGCTAATGGTGATCACAGAACGCATTCGCCTAGGAACTATAACGAGGTTTTACAAGCAAGAAATATGTCACAGTCCCCTCGTCACAGAACTGACTCACCAAAGTCGTCATCTCAGCAGCAGCCGCCTTCATACTCTGAGGTGTCAGCCAGTGAAAACGAGAGGGGACCCACACCTCCTGTGAGAGCATATAAACTTGTTCCTATTCATAATAAAAGTGACCTAGGAGGAGGTGGAGGAGGTGGTGGAATGGGAGGGAGATACGATTCAGATCGAGGTCCAACTCCCCCTGTTAGGATGTATGCCATTCATTCACCTATATCTCCAGCATCCTGTCCCGGGGTGTGCATGGACCGAGGGATCCAGTCTTCTCTTCCTAGCCTGACCAATGAGAGGGTGCATTCCCCTATGTCAGCAAGGTTAGCATTTACCGTATGATCAACAGTTTTCACTGAAGAGATAATGTAGGAATACTCTTTGGAGTTGTTACAAAATATTTTGCAATTTATATACACCTAGACTATGATTTAGGAGGTTTCTCCGAATGATAAAACAAATAGGGTCTTGTCCCCAAATCACCATTCACATGACCAAGGTTGATAGATGGTGAACCATAATTTGGTCTTTGACTGGTCTTCTTTAGTCTCCACTGAAAAAAAACTGTTTTATCATCTCCTCAACTTGTAAATCAAATTGATAACGTTGAGGGAATAGATTTTCTTCTTTACAGTGTTTGTGATATTGTTTGTAGGTTAGAAATGGGTCACCACGGAGGCCCTCAGCTCAGTCTTGACTACCGCCCCGAGTCCCCAGTCTCTGAGGGGCTGCCAGATTACGCAGGAGACTCCGACATGGAGCCGCCATGTCATCAGAGGGATTGTGGGACACCTGATTCCAGTATTGGCGAGCCTGAGGGCAGTGTCACAGGTATGTTGATGCACATAAGCCAATGTCACCTAGTATATGTATCAGCCAGAGCACTGGGCATGGTATTTGAACAGCATTTATGAAATAAAAGATGTTCAGGCAAAAGAATTACTGGAAATGGATATTTGTGTATTTTGGAAAGAAAAAACAAGCATATCCTAGGCATTTTCTAAGTTCGTCTCTTGCTTTTCATTACATTACAAACTTGTAAACACACTCAGGAAAATACACAAACACCTTTCATTTACTCGGGAGTATAAATTTTGTTTTCAAGCAGAGGGATTAATTTTAGTGTTTTTAGCACTAAAAAGATATTGCTTGATATATTTTATTGGTAGTAAGACTCATTCATATTCAGGTAGCTTGTAATATATTGATGATTACCTTAACTATTAACAGTTGACACTTTTAATTGTTATCAGCCTTCTCATTTATTTGCACTGTTCTCTAACATTTGCTATGGCTAAATCTCTAACTTACTAAGAAAAAAGTCCATTTATTAGAAACCTTATAAGCTTTCAATGATTTTAATTCAATTTCGATTAATCATTCTTATGACATTGTAATTGTGCTTAAGTTATGAATATCATAATGATTTGTATAAATTGGTCCTTTATTTGTTCAATTCTGCAATGTTTCCATGTCTGCCAGCAAACCTTATTAAAAAAAGTATGTATGTGTCTGTAAATCATTTGTCGTTATATGTGCTTATGTTGATCATATCTGTCAGTTGATTATTTTATTTATTTATTTATTTATTTATTTATTTATTTATTTATTTATTTATTTATTTTTGATGTCTTTTAAACATTCAGACTGATTGAATTTATTATAATTTTATAATGTTATAAAACTGTCTAGTTTTAAACCCTAATGACCAAATCACATCATCAGAGGTTATTGTCTGGGGTCCAATGGGGTCTTTTTATGATCCCCAATTACCACACACAGACCTCGTAGATATTAAAACCATTAAAAATTAGTTATAACTTATTTTTATTTTATTACCAGTCTCTGCATGGCTGTATAATATCTCATATATAACACCAGAAGAGCCCTGTTATTGCAGACCCATTCTTGTCTGCGTCACACTCACACCATAACCTGGACTTTCCTGTCCTCCAAGTTATGCACAGGCTCTGGTTTTTTTTGTATCACATTTTAGTGTTCACTTTTATTTAACTCATTTTAATGTTCAGTTCTGAATGTGGTGTATGTAAAGTGTAACCTTGTTAATCTTTATACTCTAGGTGTACAGTACAGCTCTGTTGTGTTATTACTTTTAATGTATTGCACTGTCATTTCTGCAAAAAAAAAATCCATGAAAAACATGGGTCTGTGGTATTGGCATATTTGAGCAGTACTGTAAACCTGGGCTTTATCAGTTCTCACATGCTACTTTTGCTTTGATGTTGAACTCTTCACACAATCTGGAAATGTTCACAAACATCAACAAGAGATTATAGTCGAAATCAAGGTTCCACTTTACTGCACCCCCTCACTTTGTACTGTTATTAATAATAATAAGTTGACAGTTGTTTTTGGCTTGCCCCTTACGCCATACTAACGTTCACCATTGTAGGTTCTATGCTCGCTTCTTGGGCGAGTGTCACTGATAACAGTGACACCTGTCTGTCCAGTAGATCAAGTGCCACCTCAAGTGATGGCTCTTTCTTCACAGAAGCTGATTTTGCCAGCGCTGTTGCCAAGGCTGCAGAACTTTCAGGTCTCACGGTCGTAGGTTCCACAGTTACTGACCCCAAAGCAGGTAGGATGAAATGTTGACCTCCGTGGGATGAATGTTGACCTCCAGAGGATGATATGTTGACCTCCCCAAACTTTGTTGAGGCACACTTTTGGATTTTAAAAACACCAGAACTAAAAATGTCATTCAGTGGAACCTTTCTTTTTAAAAAGAATTTATAAGTTAAAAAACTTGCAAAATGACTTTTTGTGTATAGTAAAATGATCTCCAACTTGTGAACATTTCCAGATTTCTTATTTCAGTTTTTGATTTCACAATTTAAAAATGCTCATTTTGAACATTATAATAATTTTTGTACTTTATGTAAACACCAATTTGGATAAGGCCTGGTCAAATTATTCCAAGACATTTTTTGTTCTTCATCATCAACAATTAATTTAACGATTAATGTAATTATAGACCTCACTTGCATGTAAAATAATTTAGTAGACTTGAGAATCTAACATCAACATCTGCAAGCAAAAACCAAACTAACGAGAAAAGTTTAACATGCATGACTACCACAGATTTTTGCCAATAAATACTGATTCAACTCACTTGTTTCCTTTTGGTTTTGTTGAAGGCAAAAAAAAAAAAAATAATAAATAATAATAATAATCACAAGACGTGACACAACTTGTATGCCAGCCAACACCAATATAATTTTGTTTACCAGGCAAGAAGAATCGCCATCGCTATCGGGAGCGGGCAGCAGCTCATCGACCCCACAGCCCCTACAGTACTGACAGTAACTTCAGTGTAGTACAACACAAGCCATATCCTAAAGCTAACAGAAAGAAGCAGTTACAGGAGCAAGGTGAGATCTGATAGGGTGTTAAAGTGAGTTTGAATTTTCAGGTCAATTAGGAATGAGAAATACATATCCATTCAGCTATTTATTCAGTTCCACTTGTAAAGCCAAATTTTTAATGTGTTATTGAGATATGCCCCAGAACTGTATGATATATGAGTATATCAATGTCTGGTTGCATTGAAAACCTTTTGTTGTTTATAATTTCAGCTGCTAAATACCCGAGATACACAGCCCCTGGGGACCAGGTCAATCCACCCACAACCAAACCAAAGCCACCCCCCTTGAAGGCCAAGCCCACTTTGCCCCAAAGTGGTAAGTTTTCTCCCTGTCAAGTAAAATTTTAAAGCTATAGTATCAAAGTTACTTATATAACTGCACTATTCTAGGAAATAAAATTACCAGAAGGATGTTCCTATATCGTCTTATTTTAATCTCAAAATGCCCCAAGAAAAATAAAATTACTGAGCTGTAGCTTAGAGACAAACCTCTGTTTGTATTCCTTAATGGTCTTTTATGCATGGTGATATGAGAAACCTTGCTGAAGATTCATAACATGGAACATTATGCATAATTTTGGCAATATTTTATTAGTACCAATAAAGCGCTTGAAATGTGTTTCCTTTTAATGTACATATGGCATGTTCAGAAATCAGTTGAAAATGTCCTGACATATCTCACACATGCAATGATATTCTTCTTGTAGAGTATCATCCACTTCCTTTTGTAGTGGAAAACCTCCCATCGTACAGCCGACCAAATTTCCCGACGCCATCTTCCCACATGCAGAGTCCCACGTCTACCAACTCGTACTCCTCCAGTAGCGGAAAATGGAAAAATCTTTCCACTTCGCCCAAGACACCCCCTAGTGTGCCAAGTGAACTGAGCGACAATGGAATGTCTATACGCTCCAACCCATTAGCATTCTCCCTTGAGGATGATGTGAGTTTATTTTTGTTTAACTTATCATAATATAACAGATTCTGTTTTATGTATGATGTTTGAATTAAGTAATGGTGCAATTTTTAGAAAGGATAGTACTTTTCGTTGCATTAATGGGGATTTTGTTAACATCACAGAGAGTGGAATGGATTGTTCATTCTGATAGAAAAAAACAAAAAAGAGAAATCTAAAATATGTTTGAAGTCTAGACTTTAAAGTAAAACAGATGCAGTCAACTCGTATAATAAATGTAAAGTGCTAGACTTTATCTGCCTAGTTTATGATTGACATTTTTATGATTGACGTTTTCATTTTCAAAAGTGCCTTTAACTTAACAAATATTTGTACTTATTTTTTCAGCCACCAGTTGCATAGTATTATAAGGTTCAAGATGCCAAGCTGATGCACACATAGCCAGGAATGTGCTTGCTTATCCTCCAGATTGTGTAGGTTCTGTCTGATGATACATATTAGTGGTGCTATTTGAGCTAAGAAAACATGGACCCTTAGATGTTAAGCTTGTGTTGAGGAAAACGCCATCTATGTTTCTCTTAACCTTAAAGGATGTTGTTTCCCCAAGATTCATTGGAGGAAAAATAAAGAGAAACAAAAATAATACTTATATTGAGCTTTTATGACATATTTTTATGCTTGCATATGCTGAATCAAATATTTTTGGGGTTTAAAGACATTGAAAAGAGAGTAGCTTGATGTATGCCTTGACTGAAAAGCCTTCCTTATCAAGAGATTATTAGATTATACAGATTTTATAATGGATTACACATTTGAGATGCTGTCATAAAAAGTAAAAATATTTCTTCCATGCAAGGTGTCGACACCTTCAACCATTTGTCTTAAAGCATATTTTTTCTTTTTTAATTTATTTTTCAGCTTTTTAGACTTTTAAATAAAGATTTTAAAAAGTAATTTTAGCATGTCCAGACAAGTAACTTTGACCAGAGAGACAAGAAAGTATTCCAAGGATATTGACTTTTATCCCCACCCCCAATCCCACGGGATATCCTACATGCAATGTACNAGTGTAGTACAACACAAGCCATATCCTAAAGCTAACAGAAAGAAGCAGTTACAGGAGCAAGGTGAGATCTGATAGGGTGTTAAAATGAGTTTGAATTTTCAGGTCAATTAGGAATGAGAAATACATATCCATTCAGCTATTTATTCAGTTCCACTTGTAAAGCCAAATTTTTAATGTGTTATTGAGATATGCCCCAGAACTGTATGATATATGAGTATATCAATGTCTGGTTGCATTGAAAACCTTTTGTTGTTTATAATTTCAGCTGCTAAATACCCGAGATACACAGCCCCTGGGGACCAGGTCAATCCACCCACAACCAAACCAAAGCCACCCCCCTTGAAGGCCAAGCCCACTTTGCCCCAAAGTGGTAAGTTTTCTCCCTGTCAAGTAAAATTTTAAAGCTATAGTATCAAAGTTACTTATATAACTGCACTATTCTAGGAAATAAAATTACCAGAAGGATGTTCCTATATCGTCTTATTTTAATCTCAAAATGCCCCAAGAAAAATAAAATTACTGAGCTGTAGCTTAGAGACAAACCTCTGTTTGTATTCCTTAATGGTCTTTTATGCATGGTGATATGAGAAACCTTGCTGAAGATTCATAACATGGAACATTATGCATAATTTTGGCAATATTTTATTAGTACCAATAAAGCGCTTGAAATGTGTTTCCTTTTAATGTACATATGGCATGTTCAGAAATCAGTTGAAAATGTCCTGACATATCTCACACATGCAATGATATTCTTCTTGTAGAGTATCATCCACTTCCTTTTGTAGTGGAAAACCTCCCATCGTACAGCCGACCAAATTTCCCGACGCCATCATCCCACATGCAGAGTCCCACGTCTACCAACTCGTACTCCTCCAGTAGCGGAAAATGGAAAAATCTCTCCACTTCGCCCAAGACACCCCCTAGTGTGCCAAGTGAACTGAGCGACAATGGAATGTCTATACGCTCCAACCCATTAGCATTCTCCCTCGAGGATGATGTGAGTTCATTTTTGTTTAACTTAATGTAATATAAAAGATTTTTTTTTTTTTTTTTTTGATGCCGTTTCTAATTGAGTAATGGTGCAATTTTTAGAAAGGATATAGTACTTAATAACAAAAAAGAGAGAAATCTAAAATATGTTTGAAGTCTAAACTTTAAAGTAAAACAGATGCAGTCAACTCGTATAATAAATGTAAAGTGCTAGACTTTATCTGCCTAGTTTATGATTGACATTGTTTTCATTTTCAAAGTGCCTTTAACTTAACAAATATTTGTACTTATTTTTTCAGCCACCAGTTGCATAGTATTATAAGGTTCAAGATGCCAAGCTGATGCACACATAGCCAGGAATGTGCTTGCTTATCCTCCAAATTGTGTAGGTTCTGTCTGATGATACATATTAGTGGTGCTATTTGAGCTAAGAAAACATGGACCCTTAGATGTTAAGCTTGTGTTGAGGAAAACGCCATCTATGTTTCTCTTAACCTTAAAGGATGTTGTTTCCCCAAGATTCATTGGAGGAAAAATAAAGAGAAACAAAAATAATACTTATATTGAGCTTTTATGACATATTTTTATGCTTGCATATGCTGAATCAAATATTTTTGGGGTTTAAAGACATTGAAAAGAGAATAGCTTGATGTATGCCTTGACTGAAAAGCCTTCCTTATCAAGAGATTATTAGATTATACAGATTTTATAATGGATTACACATTTGAGATGCTGTCATAAAAAGTAAAAATATTTCTTCCATGCAAGGTGTCGACACCTTCAACCATTTGTCTTAAAGCATATTTTTTCTTTTTAAATTTATTTTTCAGCTTTTTAGACTTTTAAATAAAGATTTTAAAAAGTAATTTTAGCATGTCCAGACAAGTAACTTTGACCAGAGAGACAAGAAAGTATTCCAAGGATATTGACTTTTATCCCCACCCCCAATCCCACGGGATATCCTACATGCAATGTACTTCCAGAAAGAACGGAGGTCATTTACAGGATCCCCTGAAAATTTGTGAATATCTGTTTTTGCTACAAATGTGTGTCGAAAGCACAAATCTTTGTATATAATTGTAAACGTCTTATTTATTATCAGAAGCATTTGTACATAGCTGTGTTATTAGAATTAACAAATAAAATCATTTATGAGTACGTTGAGTGTTTGTTATTGGTTTCAAAATGTCTAACAGTTGATAGTGGTAGAAGATTCGCAGGCTTGCAGCCAGCAATTTCCAAAGGGACGTTCTTTTTCTCAGCAAAAATGGGGATTCTATGCCCCTAAGCATATTTTGATGTATATTATTCTTCTACTATATCACTACCTTCTTTTATATCGCTGCCAGAGATGTATATTATTCTTTTACAATAGCACTACCAGTGATACTTTGCAGAAAACTAAAACCATTTATCATAATAAACTTGTCCATCACACTGCACATGTGTGACAGTCTTTGATGATAGCCTTTCTTGAATACAGAGAACGATACCGTAAGTCACTAATAAGTCTTCTAGGACCTATCATTTACTGATATCTCCTAATAATTGATTGTGGATAACAACTCTTGATAAGTATCAACCCAATAACACGTCAAGGAGGTTTTGTTGTATCAAAATAAACCAGTTTGTTATTGACTGCAAAATTATGACTTGGATCATATGCTATGAAAATTTATTTTAAAAAACAGCAATATTCGAGATGAAGCAAGTAGGTTTACATTGGAAATGGGTTTAAGACCAAGGAGTTTAACAAGACCTACTTTCATTGCCATTGTGCAAATATGCAAAAAAAAATGTTTGGTAAGTGTTTTGAATGACGAAATAAAGTGAAGACAACCTTGCTGTTGAGGGGAGAAATATGGAAAGTGCGATCAAAATCCGTTTCTTAGAACTTTTCTTCGCCAGAAATTCGCCACATCCGCAACTTCCTCACCGTTTCTTCACCGACGGCGAATAAGAGGATTATGTAAAAAGACTACGGCAGTGTGAAAGAAAAATGTCAGAATGCGTTCTTGTCACACTACAAAACAATGTCATATGGTATAGTAGTTAGAGAGCACTTACAATACAATACAATACAATACAATGCAATATTATATGATAAAGTAGTTGGAGAGGTCAATATATTATTATTATTATTACTTTATATGGGCAATACTCGTATCAGTGGTCCTTTTGTATCATTTTTTGTTTGTTTTAATTTCTGTTTGCGTTTGACACTATCATCCCGCGGGAAATCGAGTCTACTTTGTCTGTCAGTCAACTCTCCTGCTTGCTTCTGTCTAGGATCCTAACCTCTGTACAGTCGCTGTACTTTGGGGAAATAGAAATTGAGGAAACGTTCGTTACCAGCATTTACGAAAGCAAGTCCTACTCCTTGAAGGCAATTGAGGAGACAGAAAACAAACCAAAATATGTCTGATTGTAGATGCTCAGCAAGGTATTCACAAACCCATGTAAGCGTCATTATAAAGCTCGACTGGACGCTAGACCAAAAGAGAGCCTCATACCCCATTGCCCTTGCACAGGATCTTCTATATTTTGTCGTGGAACGAACCACACACATCAATGATATGCAAAAAGCTAAATTGGCAAATAAGACGACGCCATTTGGGACGACAAAGAAGGCAATGATTGCACTAGAGCCTGCTAAAAGGCAGTTTGCTTCACCAAAATATGGCGTCATAGGCGAACACTCACACAACTGCAGAATAAGACAGGGGGTTGTTAGGGCAAGGGGGGTAATATATGCTGCAAGGGCAAACCGTTTCGTTTGGGTCCTCTTTTGGACAGAGCCTACGGTAACGTCAGGTTTCTTCAATAGCTGAAAAATTGCGAACGCCGATGCAGAGGTCCATACCATTGTAGCAAACCAGAAATAATGAAACAAAACAGCAATGGCAAGGCAAATAGGTCTTATTTGATGGAATTCTGAGAGCGAACCAACGGAAAATAGGAGTTGTGTTATGAAAAGACAGCCGATCAAATTCATCATGTTTAAATCAGTCACCTCTCTTAATTTCGGAGATTGGACGTAACCGATGAATAGCAGACAGAGAAATGTCAGCGAAACTGTAGTCAACGAAAGGGACACATAAGCACGGTAATCTACGGCAGGTTTATCATATAGGCCTATATTTGACGGCATTCTGAAATATACCTCAAAGGGAATGTATGCAAAATTCCTAGTTATATGTAGATCCTTTGGGTCTAGGATACCTGGTCTATTGCGCACTGTTACGTACTTGTCACCTCTACTGTCATTATGAAACGCTACATAAGATGACGGGACATTCACCCAAGTGCCGTCATTTCTGTAAATGTTCGGCACTGTACTTCTACTTGTTGTTGTACTGTCTTTATCTTCAATGTACAGTAATTTGCACCTAAATTTTGTACCGACTAATGCCAGCTTTAATTTCTCAAATATTTTGTAGAAAATGCTCTCGAGTTTAACCAAAATCTCATCGTAAGTTTCAGCATGCCCAAAATGCTGTAGCACTATATCCACTGTGACTGAGCAGTTGTAATAATAATCTAAATCATTATCATGCAATTTTGTTGTTATCTTTATACCTTCACCCAGCGTTGTACGCAGTACTGACCAGGTGCTGTTCAAAGCTTCCTGGAATATATCAAACAGTTCACTTCTGCTATAAAAGCAGATGCCTGTTGTATTGCTTTGGAACAATAGTCCCACAAAAACGGTTCCTAGATTAAAACGGTTGAACAATGGTTGACAAGTATTGTTCCTCAGTTCTGTTCCTCGACGACAAAGTATGGTTAGGCACTGGTTCTGAAAAAGAAACGCCACGATATACCGTATATATATATATATATATAAATATATATATATATATATATATATAAGCCTTTAATTGACCCTGTCTTTCATTTGGGTATAGATAAACTGTAGAACAGATTCTCTCTTCCAGAATTATTCTCTAGCTCTTACAAAATGCGGCATTTGAGGAGATTGAAGATATCGGTGACTTTGCACGTGTTTTTCCTGCGTTTCCTATCATTCGCCCTTGACGCACTTCTTAAAACTATATGAAATACAAATACATTATGTAACGGCCAACTACATAAGTCAGCTTTTTAGACATGTCCTACGGGCCTTCTTGTTTTTATAAGACAAAGCAAAACCCTGCTCTCTGTTAGTGGTGTCTGGATCAAAAATTCATGGAAGGTGTTTTCTTCTTGCTTTAAGAACAGGTGTCAAAAGGCGCATGGTAGACATGGGTGATAAAAAAAGTTGCCGGACACTTGAAAAATATGAAGTCGCAGATGAATTTGGAGATACTCAAAACTGTACTCGAAAGCAGTAAGTGCAGTTGACGTGCACGTCTTGCGCANAAAGTGAGTTTGAATTTTCAGGTCAATTAGGAATGAGAAATACATATCCATTCAGCTATTTATTCAGTTCCACTTGTAAAGCCAAAATTTTAATGTGTTACTGAGATATGCCCCAGAACAGTATGATATACGAGTATATCAATGTCTGGTTGCATTGAAAACCTTTTGTTGTTTATAATTTCAGCTGCTAAATACCCGAGATACACAGCCCCTGGGGACCAGGTCAATCCACCCACAACCAAACCAAAGCCACCCCCCTTGAAGGCCAAGCCCACTTTGCCCCAAAGTGGTAAGTTTTCTCCCTGTCAAGTAAAATTTTAAAGCTATAGTATCAAAGTTACTTATATAACTGCACTATTCGTGGAAATAAAATTACCAGAAGGATGTTCCTATATCGTCTTATTTTAATCTCAAAATGCCCCAAGAAAAATAAAATTACTGAGCTGTAGCTTAGAGACAAACCTCTGTTTGTATTCCTTAATGGTCTTTTATGCATGGTGATATGAGAAACCTTGCTGAAGATTCATAACATCGAACATTATGCATAATTTTGGCAATATTTTATTAGTACCAATAAAGCGCTTGAAATGTGTTTCCTTTTAATGTACATATGGCATGTTCAGAAATCAGTTGAAAATGTCCTGACATATCTCACACATGCAATGATATTCTTCTTGTAGAGTATCATCCACTTCCTTTTGTAGTGGAAAACCTCCCATCGTACAGCCGACCAAATTTCCCGACGCCATCTTCCCACATGCAGAGTCCCACGTCTACCAACTCGTACTCCTCCAGTAGCGGAAAATGGAAAAATCTTTCCACTTCGCCCAAGACACCCCCTAGTGTGCCAAGTGAACTGAGCGACAATGGAATGTCTATACGCTCCAACCCATTAGCATTCTCCCTTGAGGATGATGTGAGTTTATTTTTGTTTAACTTATCATAATATAACAGATTCTGTTTTATGTATGATGTTTGAATTAAGTAATGGTGCAATTTTTAGAAAGGATAGTACTTTTCGTTGCATTAATGGGGATTTTGTTAACATCACAGAGAGTGGAATGGATTGTTCATTCTGATAGAAAAAAACAAAAAAGAGAAATCTAAAATATGTTTGAAGTCTAGACTTTAAAGTAAAACAGATGCAGTCAACTCGTATAATAAATGTAAAGTGCTAGACTTTATCTGCCTAGTTTATGATTGACATTTTTATGATTGACGTTTTCATTTTCAAAAGTGCCTTTAACTTAACAAATATTTGTACTTATTTTTTCAGCCACCAGTTGCATAGTATTATAAGGTTCAAGATGCCAAGCTGATGCACACATAGCCAGGAATGTGCTTGCTTATCCTCCAGATTGTGTAGGTTCTGTCTGATGATACATATTAGTGGTGCTATTTGAGCTAAGAAAACATGGACCCTTAGATGTTAAGCTTGTGTTGAGGAAAACGCCATCTATGTTTCTCTTAACCTTAAAGGATGTTGTTTCCCCAAGATTCATTGGAGGAAAAATAAAGAGAAACAAAAATAATACTTATATTGAGCTTTTATGACATATTTTTATGCTTGCATATGCTGAATCAAATATTTTTGGGGTTTAAAGACATTGAAAAGAGAGTAGCTTGATGTATGCCTTGACTGAAAAGCCTTCCTTATCAAGAGATTATTAGATTATACAGATTTTATAATGGATTACACATTTGAGATGCTGTCATAAAAAGTAAAAATATTTCTTCCATGCAAGGTGTCGACACCTTCAACCATTTGTCTTAAAGCATATTTTTTCTTTTTTAAA